TCCGCCGCCCTACCTGCGGCCGTCCCGCCGCCCTACCTGCGGCCCACCCGCCGCCTTACCTGCGGCCCACCTGCCGCCCTACCTGCGGCCCACCCGCCGCCCTACCTTCGCGGCCCGGCCGCCCTACCTACGCGGCCCAGCGGCAGCCGAGCCGCCCAGCAGCAGACGAGCCGCCGAGCCGCCCAGGAGCAGCCGAGCCGCCCACGAGCAGCCGTGCCGCCCAACAGCAGCCGAGCCGCCCAGCAGCAGCCGAGCCGCCCGGGAGCCGAGCCGCCCAGCAGCCTAGCGGCCGTGTCGTCTGGCGACCTTCCTCCTGAGCCGCCCGACCTGCCCTGCCCGGTGAGCACTGCACTGCTGTCACTGCGTACCCTTCCCCTACTGCTTGCACTGCTCCACTGTCGTCATGGCTACACCCACTCTCCTCACTTTTGACGCTGAGGGTCGGGCAATTGACTTTGAGGTCTGGCTCGACGACCTGCAGCTGTTTTTACAGTGCGACAGGGCCGACAGTCTGTCTCTCTTTGACCTCACCTCTGGCGCTGTCCCTGCCCCTGCTGCTGATGCTGATGCCACTGTTCGCTCTCAGTGGGCCACGCGCGATGCTGCTGCACGTCTTGCAGTGCGTCGCCACCTGCCTACCGCTGAGCGCGCGCACTTTAGCCAGTACAAGAGTGCTCAGACCTTGTACGACGCTGTAGTTGCACGCTACTCCTCCCCAGCCACTGCTGCACTGAGCCGCCTCATGCTCCCCTTCCTCTTCCCTGACCTTGCCGCCTTTCCCACTGTCGCTGATCTCATCACGCACCTCCGCACTAGTGACACTCGCTACCGCGCTGCACTTCGTGCTGACTTCTACGCCAAGAACCCCCCCCCCATGTACATCACTCTCTACTTCCTAGTCACTCGCCTCCCTGACTCCCTTCGTGTAGTCCGGGACCACTTCCTTGCGGTCTGTCCCACCACCCTCACCGTCGACAGCCTCGAGAAGGCCCTTCTTGCAGCAGAGAAGAGCATAGTTGCTGTAGGAGCCTCTCGAGGTGACCCCCGCGCCCCCATCTTTGAGGGGTGTTCTCCTTCCCCTCTCCTGCCCTCTGTTGCCTCTGCCGCTGCGGCCGACCTCGTTGGTCTTGAGTCGGTCGGTGCGGCGTCTGCCCCTAGCGGGAGACGCCGCTCTGGCAAGGGCAAGGGGGGCAAGGGAGCGGGTGGGGCCAGTGGGGGCGGTGGCGGTGGGGGTTGAGGCGGCGGAGGGGGTGGGGGTGGCGGTGGAGGTGGTAGTGGGGGTGGGGGTGCTAGTGGCAGCGGTGGCGGCGGGAGTGGCGGCGGCGGTGGCGGTGGTAGCGGAGGTGGCGGAGGTGGCGGCGGTGGAGGTGGGGGCAGGGGCGGTGGAGGCGGAGGCGGGGGTGGCGGAGGTGGCGGTGGTCGGAGTGGGGCTTCGCAGCGGAGCGGCACTGGTGGCGGTCAGCGCCAACAGCAGCAGCAGCAACAGCAGCAGCAGCAACGTTCTCTCGACGTCCTCACCCCCCAGCAGCTCCGTGAGTGGTACACGCAGCGTCAGCGCGGTGGGGGTTTTGGTCCCTGCACCTACGTTCTCCGCACTGGCGACCGCACAGGAGAGCAGTGTGGGGGTGCCCACCCCGCTCAGCGCTGCTTTGGCCGCCTGACAGACGCTTGGCGTCAGCAGTTCCCGGAGGCCGCGGAGATCCCCCGCTGGGGAGAGCTGTCTAGGGCTGGTGTAGCTATCTTTGATCTTGATTTTGATGCTATCCTTGCTGCCATGTATGCTGTGACCACTAGTGAGGAGGGTGACTGTTACCGGTGTTTCCCGCCCGACCCGGGCATTGGTACTGCTGCTCCAGGTGCCGGTGAGGCTTCTGCTCTAGGTGCCAGTGCGTCTGTACTCTCAGGTACTAGTGCGTCTGCGTTCTCAGGTACTGCGTCGGCTTCAGCCTCCCACACCTTCACTCTTGACTCTGGAGCGTCTCGCTCTTTCTTTCGGGACCGCACCACACTTACGCCGCTTAGTCGGCCGGTTGCGGTTTCCCTGGCTGACCCCTCTGGGGGTCCTGTCCTGGCTCGCTTCTCCACGGTCCTCCCGTGTCCGGCGGCTCCCTCTGGCACCCTGTCTGGTCTCTACCTCCCCTCGTTCTCTACGAACTTGGTGAGTGGTGCTGACCTACAGGATGGGGGAGTCCACCAGTTCACCCCTGCTAGTCAGCGCGTGACGCACTGCACGGAGGCTAGCACGGGTCGTCACTTGGCTACGTTTACACGTCAGCCAGGGTCGAGCCTGTACACACTGACCACTGCTTCTCCTCCAGGTGCTGAGTCTGGTAGAGTCCCTTCGTCTGGTCAGGTGTTTGCTGCAGCGTCCAGGTCTGGTCCTGAGTCTGCCCCCTGTTCGTGTCGCCGTCTGTCTCACGAGACCCTCCTCTGGCACCACCGTCTTGGCCACCCCTCTCTGCTTCGGCTCAGAGGCATGGCCTCCCGTCTTCTTGTGTCTGGTCTCCCCCGGTCTCTACCTCCCCTTCCTCAGGGCCCTGGCCCTACCTGTGTCCCCTGTGTAGAGGGGCGCCAGCGTGCTGCCCCTCACTCCTCCCAGTTTCCTCCGACAGAGGCTCCGTTGCAGACGCTTCACATGGACGTGTGGGGCCCTGCCCGCGTCCGTGGACTCGGTCACGAGTGCTACTTCCTGCTGGTGGTTGACGACTACTCGCGTTACACCACAGTCTTCCCCTTGCACAGCAAGGGTGATGTCACTGAGGTGCTGATCGACTGGATCCGCGCAGCTCGTCTCTAGCTCAGGCAGAGCTTTGGCTCGGACTTTCCTGTGTTGCGTCTGCACTCGGACAGAGGCGGAGAGTTCTCCTCTGCCTACTGTTGTGCGCGTGGCATCCGCCAGACCTTCACGCTTCCGGACTCCCCGCAGCAGAATGGGATTGCAGAGCGCCGCATTGGCATGGTCATGGACGTCGCTCGTACGTCCATGATGCATGCGGCTGCCCCCCATTTTCTGTGGCCGTTTGCGGTCAGGTACGCAGCGCATCAAATCAACCTCCACCCCAGGGTCTCCAGGCCGGAGACCTCCCCAGCACTGCTGTGGACGGGGAAGGTTGGCGATGCGTCGGCGTTCCGGGTCTGGGGATCTCGGGCGTTTGTCCGCGACTTGTCTGCGGACAAGCTGTCCCCTCGCGCTGCTCCCTGCGTCTTCGTGGGGTTCCCCCCCGACGCCCCCGGGTGGCAGTTCTACCACCCCACCTCTCGACGTGTTCTGTCCTCCCAGGACGTCACGTTCCACGAGTCGGTACCCTACTACCGCCTCTTCCCCTACCGCACTCCGTCCCTCCCCCCCCCCCCCGCTCTTCTTGGTACTAGGTCCCCCCCCGGTAGACCCCCTTCCCCCTCAGGGTCCTGCCCCTTCAGCTGTGTCCCAGGTAGACGCGGTCGAGCCTGTCGAGGTCACTAGTGACTCTGGTGCGGCTGCAGGAGCTGAGCCAGGGGGTGCTGAGACTGGAGGTGCTACGCCTGTGGGAGCTGAGCCTGGGGGTGCGGAGTCTGGAGGTGCTGAGCCTGGGGGTGCTGTGCCTGGGGGTGCTAAGCCTGGGGGTGCTGAGCCTGGGGGTGCTGAGCCTGGGGGTGCTGTGCCTGGAGGTGCTGAGCCTGTGGGTACTGTGCGTGGGGGTGCTGAGCCTGGGGGTGCTGAGCCTGGGGGTGCTGAGGCTGGGGGTGCTCCGCCTGGAGTTGTTTCATCTCGCCGAGAGCCACTCTCCACTCAGGAGCTACGTGAGTGGTTTGCCAGACGCTGGAGGCGTGCTGCTGGTGCTGGAGGTTCTTCGGCTGCTGGAGCTGCTGGGTCTGAGGGTTCTCCTGGAGCTGGTGCTGCTGAGGGTGTTGACGCCGAGACTGCCGCTGGAGGTCCGACTGGCGGTGCTCCTGCTGGTGCTGCTGGAGGTTCGGGTGCTACTGGAGGTGCTGCTGGAGCGCGTACTTCTGCTGGGGGTACTGGTGCTGTCCCTGCTGTTTCTGGCGTCGCCGCGCGGCCCCGGCTGTACTTCGTTCCGCTCCTGCAGCAGGTTCTTGGTCTTACACCTTCTCCTGGTCCTCCTCCTCCTCCTCCCTTAGAGGGTCCACAGCCTTTCTCGTCACAGTCACAGCTACAGCCTGCCTCCCCTTTGCCTGCTCCTTCTCCCTATGCTGGTCCGACTGGAGGTCTTACTGAGCGTCGTGAACCTGCGTCTCGTCCTGCGTCGCCTGTTCGTACTGCGCGCGCCAATGGTCGCGGTTCGCGTCAGCGTCCTCCTCCTGTCCCTGGCACGCACCGGATGTCTCTGCGTCCGTCCACTGCTCCTCTGCGTGCCCCTTTGCCTTCTCCTCCTGCTTCCTCTCTTCCTGCTCTTGCCGACCCGGAGTCGGACTTTCTTCGTGCTGCCAGTCCTACTGTCACGCGTCTCCTTGCTACAGCTGTCACTGACCCTTCTTTCGAGTCTTCTGCTGCGTCTGCCCTTGTCACTGAGCTCGTCGACTTTGCTGCGCGCTGTCGCCTAGACTACGCTGCTAGTCTTGTTGCTGAGTCTGAGTCTGCCTGTCCTCCGTCCGTCGGGGGTGAGTGTGCCCTTGGCACGGACGTCCTTGAGGACAGGCAGGAGGAGTTCCAGTGTCTGGCCGCCGCTTCACCTCATCTCGCGTCTGTACTGCTAGCCCCTGAGGGAGACCCAGATGCACTAGACATCCCGACTCCGCGCTCTTACGCGGAGGCGATAGAGGGTCCCTACTCCTCTCAGTGGCAGGCAGCTATGGATGCAGAGATGGCTTCCTGGAAGTCCACAGGCACCTACGTCGACGCTGTTCCCCCTCCTGGGGCGAACATCGTCAGTGGCATGTGGATTTTCAGGGTGAAGCGGCCGCCGGGTTCTCCGCCTGTCTTCAAGGCGCGTTACGTGGCTCGTGGCTTTAGTCAGCGGCAAGGGGTTGACTACTTTCAGACCTTCTCCCCCACCCCGAAGATGACCACTCTTCGGGTACTGCTGCACGTTGCTGCTCACCGTGACTACGAGCTGCACTCTCTCGACTTCAGCACAGCTTTCTTGCAGGGCAGTTTGCACGAGGAGATCTGGCTGCGTCGCCCACCTGGCTTCACTGGGTCTTTCCCTCCTGGTACCCAGTGGAGTCTCCGGCGTCCAGTCTACGGTCTCCGCCAGGCGCCACGTGAGTGGCACGACAAACTGAGGACTACGCTTGCGGCACTTGGGTTTGCTCCTTCTACTGCCGACCCGTCGCTGTTTCTGCGCACCGACACCTCTTTGCCGCCGTTCTACATTCTCGTGTACGTCGACGACTTGGTCTTTGCCACAGCGGACACTGCTGGACTCGCTTACGTGAAGTCCGAGCTGCAGAAGAGACACACGTGCACTGACCTGGGTGAACTGCGCAGCTACCTTGGCTTGCAGATCACCCGGGACAGAGCACGCCGCACCATTACCCTGACTCAGTCACACATGGTGCAGCAGGTCCTTCAGCGCTTCGACTTCACGTACTCCTCGCCTCAGGCCACTCCTCTGCCTACTCGCCACTCGCTCTCAGCTCTGCCTTCGGATGAGTCCGTAGAGTCGAGTGGCCCGTATGCAGAGCTTGTTGGCTGCCTCATGTACCTGATGACCTGCAAACGACCTGACCTTGCATACCCTCTCAGCATTCTCGCACACTATGTTGCTCCTGGGAGACACCGACCAGAGCACATGGCTGCAGCGAAGTGGGTGTTGCGCTACTTGTGCAGTACGTCGAGCATGGGGCTAGTGCTTGAAGGGCGCAGTCTAGCGGTCCTCACTGGGTACGCGGATGCTTCTTGGGCTGACGACCAGGCTACACAGCGGTCGTCACAGGGTTACACCTTCAGCCTTGGTTCCGGCTCTGTCTCGTGGCGGGCTACTCGCTCGTCTTCTGTTCTCGGCTCCAGTTGTGAGGCTGAGATCTACGCCGGGGCTATGGCTGCTCAGGAGCTTCGCTGGCTCACCTACCTGTTGACCGACCTTGGAGAGCCGCCTCGTTCTCCTCCAGTCCTGTACGTAGACAACAAGGCCATGCTGGCCTTGTGTCGAGAGCAGCGACTGGAGCACAGGACAAAGCACATTGCTCTCCGCTACTTTCTTGCTCGTGAGCTGCAGCAGCGTGGACAGTTGCAACTTGCGTACGTGGCCTCTGAGGCCAACACTGCTGATGTCTTCACCAAGGCACTTGCGCCTTGTGATCATCAGCGTTGCTGCACGCAGCTGGGTCTTGTGCCTGTCTTGTCTCACTTGCTCACTTCTTGACCTTGCTTGTACCTTGACCTATATATACTCTTGCTCTTGTTTTGCTTGACTCTTGTATATCTCTATATATGATCTTGCATGTGAACTGGCCTTGTGGCCCTTGAACTTGTGCTCGGAATGTGTGGTGACTTTGTGATCCACCCTGAGCTTTGCTTTGCATTGCTTGACTGGTCTTGTGACCCCTTGTTCTCCCCCACTTTGCCTATGGGGGTGTGTCAGAACATTGTAGCTTACTTGTTTGTGTAGGCTATATTGGGGTATCCCATAGGGGGTACAACCCAATTAGGGTTTCCTATTTGTACTCACCTCATTCGTAGTCAACTCATTCACGTTTCTATTTTCACACGGGAAACTCCAGCCGAACACCCACGAAAGTAAGAATTCGTTAAAAGTATCCTATAAAGATGCTCTAACGAAGAATATTGCTTCTCGTGGTTTACAAGCCTTCAAAAAATTCAGGGGAGGTCTAGAGGCCAAGAAAAAGCCTTTAGAAATTATTCAGGTTCCTGAGAAGTTGGGCAAAATACTACGGAGCGTAGAGAAGGGTCGTGCGTTCCGTGGAGTTAATATTCTCTCCCCGCAGCACAGTGTTAAGGCTCCCCGTCGCCCACAGGTGAAGCCTACACAGCTGCCAAGGCTTAGAGGAGACATCCAGGCTCAGGAAAAATTATACAAGCCTCGGAAAAATCCTCCTACCCCCCAGGTGAAGTTGGAAAACGCTGAGTTAGGTATAGGAAAAAGGGAAGGTATTAAGTTTGATGTACCCTATGATCCTGTTAACGAGACCCTCTTTGGCTACTCAGCACAGCAGAAACCACTACTCCTCGAGGTGTTATGCAATGGGCGACGCCTCCAGGCATTGGTGGACAGCGGTGCATCTCACTCGGTGTGTGACCGCAGAGCATTGGAGAAAATTGGAGAGAAGGCGGAAGAGACCCAGTTTTCAGCAACCATGGTGGACGGTACGAAGCTTCCTATCCACGGCGAAGCATCACTGCAACTGCATATAGGTGCGTTGAGGTGGAAGCCGAAGCTACCAGTCACCAACATCAAAGGATTAGATTTTATCTTGGGGCGAGATTTCCTGAAGCAGTTCAACCCCGAGATCGATTGGGTCAACAGCAAGGTGTGCATCTACAACAACGTTAAACGAGTGGAGCTGCGAAGCTGGACGGATACAGGGGACGTATCTGAAACAACACTGGCACGGTTCGAACTGACGGTGAACGAGAGTAACACGGGTTACCTAGCACTGGTTATGGCAGTAGCAGAGGAGGAGAAGCCGAGTTCCGAGCTACCTGCAGCAGTGAAAGAGGTCTTGGAGCAGTACAAGGATATAATGCCCGACGACCTACCTCCAGGCGTACCTCCAGCACGCACCCACGAGCACGAGATCGTGGAGGAACCAGGTGCGAAACCCGTCTCACAGCACAAGCTGTCAAAGAGCGACTTCGCCCTGAAGAAGGTGCAGTTTCTCGGGCACATGGTGAGTGCCGAGGGCGTACACGTGGACCCACGGAAGATCGAAGCCGTCAAGAAGTGGAAAGTACCAGAGAACGTGAAGGAGTTACAGCAGTTCCTAGGCTTCGCCAACTACTACAACAGGTTCGTGCCGCAGTACGCTAAGATAGCAGCGCCACTAACCGACCTACTGAAAAAGGATACGCCCTACAAATGGGATACCCTTCATCAGCAAGCCATGGAGCAGCTACAGACAGCACTGACTACAGCGCCAGTACTCATCTTGCCGCATCCAGACAAGGACTACGTGCTGGAAGCAGACGCTAGTGACCAAGCAGTCGGAGCAGTACTGATGCAGGATCACGGACGCGGTTTGCAGCCCATCGCCTACCTCAGTAAGAAGCTACACGGAGCAGAACTAAACCACCCCATTCACGACAAGGAAGCCTTAGCGATAGTCATAGCCTTCAAGGCGTGGAGGTGTTACCTAGAGGGAGCCAAGACTACAGTCTATACTGACCACTGCAGTCTCAAATACCTGAAGTCACAGCCGACACTCTCACGACGACAGGTGCGGTGGGTGGACTTCCTGGAAACTCACTTCCACTACGACATCGTCTACAAGCCCGGGCTACACAACAAGGCAGACGCGTTTAGCCGCCCCGGACATGTAGCAGGCATCTAGCTCGACGGGATGAGCCCTCTGCTCAAGGGTCTATTCCAACATGGGTACTCCGTGGACGCAAAGATTGCTACAGCACCGACCAAGAAGCTATTACAGTGGGAGAAAGACTTAGCTGTAAGGAAGGGTTCAGGAAAGATTTGGGTACCGAATTACGCCCCGCTACGGCAGATCCTATTGGAGGAGTTTCACGACGTACCTTACGCGGGACATTTCGGGAGCAACAAGACGTTAGCAGGGATAGCGAAGTATTACTACTGGCCCGGGATGGCAGCAGACGTGCAGCAGTTCGTCACCTCTTGCGACACGTGCCAGCGGATGAAGAGCAGCAAGCAGAAAAAAGCAGGGTTACTTCAGCCTCTACCCGTACCGGAGCAGCCATGGCAGGTCGTTAGCCTCGACTTCATCACAGGGCTTCCTTCGACCTCACGGGGACATGATTCCATCCTCGTGGTGATCGATAAGTTCTCCAAAATGGGTCACTTCATACCGACCAACGCCACAGCTACAGCTGAAGCAACTGCTCGCCTCTTCTTCTACCGCATCATCACCATCCACGGCATCCCCGCTACACTCATCTCAGATAGAGACCCGAAATTCACGAGTAAGTTCTGGAAGGAGCTCATGGGACTGTTGGGGACAAAGCTTGCAATGTCTTCAGCATACCACCCCCAGACTGACGGACAGACAGAGCGACTCAATCAAGTGGTTGAACAGTTACTGCGCACAGCTTGGAAGGACGACGTCAGCCACTGGGACACACAGTTACCAACCCTAGAGTTCGCTTACAACAACGCATCACATGCGGCCACAGGGAAAACTCCTTTCTTCCTGTGTTACGGACGGGAACCACTCACACCACAGCAGCCAACTACACCGGCACACGTCCAAGCCGCACATGACTTCGTCACCACCATGCAGCAGCTATGGGAGAAGACTCAGCGACGTCTCACCACGATGCAGAACTCCCAAAAGCAGTATGCCGATCGTCAGCGACGTGATCACTCAGTAGCAGTCGGAGATCAGGTGCTTCTTGACACGCGCAACTTGAACCTGTCTCACCTCCCATCCAAACTCCGGCCTCGCTTCTGTGGTCCTTTTCTCGTTGAGGCACAGGTGACACCAGTTACATTCCGCTTGCGCTTACCAGATACATGGAAGCTTCACAACGCTTTCCATGTCAGCTACTAAAGCCCTACAAGGACCCCAACCAACAGTTCCAGGGACAGCAACTACCGCCACCACCACCTGTTCTCATACAGGATGAACCCGAGTACGAGATCGAGCGCGTTCTCTCTCATCGGCGCCGCGGTGGCAAGACTCTCGAGTTCCTGATACGCTGGAAGGGATACGACCCCACTGAGGACAGTTGGGTTGCAGAAGCTGATATGGGCAACGCACGCCGTGCTCTCAAGGAATATCTTGTCAAGCAGGGTGTATCTCACGCCACCCAGCTTTGAGGGGGGGACGTGTGAGAGTACGACGGCTTATGCCAGCTATGCTTGCTTGCCTTTAATTTTATCATGCTATTTCTAGCATAGGATATTTATATGCATGCATGAATTGCTTGATTTCCTAGGCTAGGTGCTTTCCTATATTTTATTATAGTTATAGCACCGAGCTAGGTTGCGTGCACCGAATTCTGGCTTTTCGGTTGCCACCGAATTGCCTTCTACCGAATTCGGTAAGGATCTGTTCGGGACGCTTCGCGACCCGCGGAACCTTCGCGTAACACCTGGTTACGGGGCCTTGTGTCGAGCCTATATATAGCCTCGTGTTGTACCCAGGTGGACATTAAATTCAATTCAATTCGACTCAATTCTCATTCTCTTTTCCGAACTCGATCCTAGATCCTCACAAAGGGGCTATGGTTTGCCCCTCCGTCGACGAACATTTTCAAGTTATTTTTTAACACCTTGCCAGCGACCAGCACAGGGTGATCCACATATGTATCCCCGTTATTCGGCCGAGTGCGATCGATTGCATGAATCGGAACCACGACTCGGTGGGGATGGTGGGGTTCGGGCGACGGAGCACAGTTAGTAAAGGGCCCGCTAATTACTGACTCTTCCCATTTCCCTGCTTCTTCCTGTCGTTCCCCGTCAGCGGCGTATTCTCGTGGCAGTCTTTCATGTAGTGACCCGTCTTCCCACACCGGTAACACAGTCCCTTTGGAGGGCGGTCGGGTGTACGGACGGCGTTGATCGTGGCCCGATGGGTCTGGCCACGAAAGCAGTTTCCATCCCTGGAAGCTGCTCTCGCGTACTGCATCAGCACATCCGTTGACTCCGCCAGCCGTACTGCTTCAAGGAATGATGTCGCGCAGCCTTTGCGAACCTCGTACTGTATCTCGTATTTGAGGACGCTGATGTATTTATCCAACCGCTCAGCTTCCGACATATCATCAACTTGGTCGGCGAGGCCCATAAATGATGCCGTGTAGTCTTGGACAGAAGCCATCTGCGACCATGCACGCAGCTTCATGCGAGCTTGCTCCGAGGCGGATACGTGCTCGAAGCGATCTCGTAAGGCTGCGCCCCACTCCTTCCACGTGCGTATCGTGGTCACTCCGAAGATTGATTGTGCCACTTGATTAGTCACTGTTGAGGGTCCGTCTGCTGCATGCGTCACACATGTCGGCGTCCCCGTTTCCAAGGTTCGGCGCCACCATTCAAACGCTGCACCTCAAAGAAGCGAAACTATGTTATTAATACGTGCGGCGTCGTCATTAACTCCTGCTGTAGTGAAAAAGACTTCGACCCCAAACAACCACCCCTTTACTGTAACCGTCTTGTCCGTAGGATTAAATGGGGGCGGGTTGACGGGCTTGATCTTGATCGTCGTTACTGCAACTAGT